ACCGCCGCCCTCAATGCTTGCGGCCCCGCTCTGTCCCTCGCGCTCGGCACTCGGCTCCGCGGAGTCGGCTGCGGCACCCCAGCGCTCTGAAGACTGGCGTCCTGACCAGTTCCAGCACGAGTGCCTGCACTTCCCTGGCATCTGGTCCACAGTCATTGCCATTGCTGGCCGCGTCTGTCAACGCTGCTGGCCTTCTGGGGTCCTGGACCGCTGGTTCACTCAGGAGTGCGTCAGCCTTCTTGCACGAACTTGCGAGTCCCCCGTCGGTCCGCTGTCTCGCGCTGGGCTATCTTGCGGCCCCGCACTTCGCCACGTCTGTGGCGCACTGACCTCTGGCGCCCTGTGGCGACAAGGCCCAAGCCACGTACCTGGTGATTCGGCTCCCATGTACCCGCACGTTTGCAGCTCCCTGGCAGCCCCAGCACATTGCAGTCCCCACCTTCGGCGCTGGTTCCCAGCCTCGCCGGTTGCAGCACGGTCCCGGCGCAGCTGCTTCCCCCGGCAGTAGGTCTTGCTTTCTTCTGCGTGCGTTCCGGCAATCAGGTTTGCACGTCGCCCGAGCCGAACCGACCAGCTGCAGGCGCCTTCGCCTGTGGCTGCGACGAAAAAGTATCCGCACAAACCCATCCAGGAACGATGCCGAGGCGAAGTGCATCGACCAGAGAGTTGCAGGAACAAGCAGTGGGACAGAGAACGGTGGAGGGGCATGAGCAGACTTGGAAGCTGTCAAATTGAGATAGGAGAGTTTCTTGGCGGTTAACTTGGGCCATTTTGAATTCGTGTGGCAGGCCTGTGGGGCTCTCTTGGGGTTCTCGTGGGAGCCTTGGGGGGGACCTTCGCGGGGCCATACGGAGGGTCATAGATCAAAGAACGGGGGCGTTTCATTAGGGTTGACATTTGGGGGCTCGAAAGCTCGCCTCTTGGGCCCATCTTCGGGCCGTATTGTGGCCCTCTTGGGCCCGTCTTGGGGATCCTTTTGGTTATCCTGGAACCACCTGGACGCCCCAAGGACCATCGGAGCACAAAGTGGCGAGAAGGCACACAAGTGGTGCTCTTAGGGTCATGGAAGGATCTGGGCATGCAGTCAACCATGATAGTAAGGATGGGGCAACTGTCCAAGGCTACATACCCTTGCATCCTTGCCCCTTCGGTATTCGGCATCCTTCGGCATTCTGCTGCGTTCCAAGGCCCTTGCATCTTCACCGCGCATCCTTACTATCCTGGTCGAGTGTATGGGAAGCGTCCGTGGGAGGCTCCGTGCCCAGCTGTACCCGGCTCGCTGCGGCATTGGTGTCTCTCGGAGGCATCTTGGAGACCATGGCAAGCCATTTTGGAATACGGTGGGAGCGTTCGTTAAGGAATGTGCCCACGGGGCTTCAGACCCTGGAGGATTCCTTATCTGATGAGGGCGGCGGTGATATCCATGGCCAAGCTTCGTTTGGAGTTCCACTGGCCTCCAGACCCTCGATGCCTTGTCTAAGGGTTCCGTATCCAATGCCCCCACCATATGTTATGCAAGATTGGAGGCCCTATTAGGTTATCTGGAGCCACCTTGGACCCTCTGACCGCTCACGGCACGCCCCGTCCAGACCCAGCGGGAGGGGAAGGGGAAGGAGGGGGAGAGGTCAAGTTCCCAGCGAGAACGCCGCGAGCTTTCTCGCTCACTCCGACCCGCCCTCCCAGTACTATTTAGGCAGGAGCCGCCACCGACAACCGTCGGGAACAGCTGCTGACGCATCCAGGTGCACGACGTCCGCGAAGTGCGTTGTGCGTGCCAGGTGCGCCAGGTACCCCATGGGCCCAAGCGTGCCAGACGTGCATGGTGCACCAGATGCGCCACGTGCTCCACATGCACCCAGTGGGCCACGTGCGCCAACCGTGCCAGGTGGCCCACGTGCGCGTCGGGACTATCGCGCGTCAGGGCGCACGTCACAGCACACATCGGGAAGTATGTCGACCCAACCCCGGCCGTCACTTTCAAATATGCAAAGTGGCGGAAGGGCGGCATTGTGTATGGTGTGTGTGTGCGTGATAGCAATCACGTTGCATAGGTTTTAGGCAGGGATGGTGGGTCTCTGCACAGCGGGCAATATCATTCCTCCCATTTGTCCGTGTCCAGCAGATGCAGGTTGAAGTACAAGTGCCGCGCGTGCTTGCAGCAGGCTGACCGTTTCAGCTTACAGAGAGCACCAAACAACGTACCGTCAGGACATGCATTGGCTGCCGTACCTGATGATCGCCTACGTCTTTGGGGCTACCATTACTCAGTCGTTGTTCCTTGCCATTCATGAGCTGGCGCATAACCTGTTTTTCAAGAAGCCGCTGTACAATCGGTGCCCCGCTTCTGTTCACAAGACGTTGCCAGTGTCTTAATGTGTATTGTTTGCTTGCTAGGATGTTCCACCCGCCGTATTGTTCAAGTCAGGCGTGTCTGTCATAGGCAGTCTCAGGGCATATCAGAGTGAGGGCGCCGAACGTTCATTCATTATCCTTGGGCGCGTGGTTGATGTTGATGCGTTGTTGTTGTTGGTTGCGTTGCTGTTGTTGGCGGTGGTGTTCTTGTTGTGGGTTGCTGGTTATGTTGCTGGTGCTGTTGGTGCTGTTGGCGTTGTCGTTGTTGTTGCGTTGATGTTGTTGGTGGTGGTGCTGGTGTTGCTGGCGGTGCTGTTGTTGTCGGTGTTGTTGGTGTTGTGTGGTTTGTTGTTGGTGTTGCTGTTGCGTAGTTGGTGTCGTCGTTCTCGCCCGCGACCAACCCCGCGACCCATCCCGCGACCCATCCTGCGACCCTCCCGCGACCCACCCTAGTTGTGTTGACAGAATTTCGGCGCTTGCGGCGTGTGCACTGTGCAATGTGTAAAAGGATCGGCGCCTGCGGCGGGCTTCCCTCGGAGCTTCGCAGATTGCCGCGACCCATCCCGCGACCCGCCCGCGACCCACCCCCCGCGACCCACCCCGCGACCCACCCACATTGTTCCCAACCATCTTGTGGTGCTGGGTCCTCGTCTTGAAGAGACATTCCCCACGTTCCTCCTCTCTTCCTCTCCTCCTCCCCCTCCTCCTCCTCCTCCTCCTATTCCTCCTCCTCCCTGCGTTCCACCCCCCCAGTACAGCGCTTCGTGACCCCATAGGGAGCTCCACCGAAGGCCCCAGCGCTACCGTCCACATGCGTCCCCCACACCCATTTCGGTACACCCTTCACACGCGTCGTGGCCCAATAGGGAGCTCCACCGAATGCAGTGCACCATCCACATGCGTCCCCCACACCCATTTCGGCCACACCCCTCACACGTTCGTGGCCAATAGGGAGCTCCACCGAAGGCCCCAGTGCCAACCGTCCCACTTTGCGTCCCCTGCACCCATTTCGGCACACCCCTCACACGTTTCGTGGCCAAATAGTGAGCTCCACCGAAGGCCCCAAGGCCACCGTCCACATGCGTCCCCCACACACACACACACACATTCCGGCACACCCCTCACACGTTTCGTGGCCCAATACGGAGCTCCACTGAAGGCCCCAGGGGGACCGCCCGCATGCGTCCCCCACACCCATTCGGCACACCCTTCACACGTTTCGTGGCCAAATAGGGAGCTCCACCGAAGGCCCCAGTGCCACCGTCCACATGCGTCCCCCTCACACCTCCATTGAAGGCCCCAGTGCCACTTTTCACATGCGCCCCCCACACCCATTTCGGCACACCCCTCACGCGTTTCGTGGCCCCATATGGAGCTCCACCTAAGGCCCCAGTGGCTGCGTTCGCATGCACCCACCGCACCTATTTCGGCACACTCCTCACGCGTTTCGTGGCCTCCTGGGGAATTCCACGGGCGGCCCCAGTGGCTGCTTTCACATGCGCCCACCGAACCAAATTTGGCACATCCTTCACACGTTTCGTGGCCCTATCGGCAACTTCTCCGACTACGGTGCGTACAACGACCGTATTCACAATTGCCAATGGTTGGGTCCTTCGCCAGGCTAATGTTGATATAAGTTCGGCGTTTGCGGCGGGGTCACTGTGCAATGTGTTGAAAAATCGGCGTCTGCGGTGGGCTTCCTCAGAGCCTCGCAGACTGCCGCGATCTACCCGCGACCCACCCAGCGACCAATTCGCGACCCACCCGCGACCCACCCACATTGTTTTGACTAAAAAATCGGCGCCTGCGGGGGGCTCTTTGACTAGTTGGTCAGAGTAGGGTGGCCGAACGGCCATTCACTGTCCCTGGGCGCGTGGCTGAAGTGGGGTTCTCCGCTGTGCGGATTGTTGTTGCATTGTTGGTGTTGGTGCGTTGTGATGTTGTTGTCGCCGCCCTCGCCCGCGACCCACCCCGCGACAAACCTGCAACCCACCCACAATGCGATGACGAAAAAGTCGGCGCCTGCGGCGGGCTCGGTGTGCAATATGTTGTATATAAAGGAAATCGACGCTTGCGTTTCGCTTCTTCAGAGCCTTGAAGGTTGCCGACGACGCCCGCCGCCACCTCACTCGTAGCCGCATTTGCGGGGTACTACGTATTGGTTGTACTCCCCACCTTTTTGCGTCGCCGGATCACTTTGGAAAGCCGATGCAGCGTGAAACCGTTGTGGCTTAAATATTTCGCCAGCCAACATTGTTTCGAATCCCCATTGCAATGTGACCTGGCCGACGGGTGCAGACGTTCTTGCGAAGGTGTGTGCGTGTGTGTATGTGTGTATGTGCGCGCGAGTGCGTACGAACCAGTAGGGCTTCTATAGCAGAGCAGCATGTTGCGTAATGGTGGCGTGTGTTGTCCAGTCGTCTTCGAGCGTGTGTGGTAAGACTACTTGGGACATTGTCGAAGTGCACCTCACTTGCGAACTCACTTGGAATACCACGGGGGTGGACACACATGTATTCAGTAGGTTTGGGAACTCCCATGTTTTCAACATCTTCTCTTCGAAGAAAACGCCCTGGCTGCAAAATCTATCCCGTCGTATTCGTTGCATTGCCACACGCCCGTTTGCTCACCAATCCCTCTGCATGTGAACACGCACACACACACACACACCACTTGTTTCTTTTTTGCTATAACCCAAGATTGGGAAGCTCTCACAATACACCTGCCTCCCTCTTCTCGCCAATTCGGGTGTTTCTGGTCGTCAGATTACCACCACTGGGTCTGGCCACTGCTGGTTCGGCTCTTTGTGTGAGGGGGCCCGTGATCAATGCCTCCAATCGTGAGACTGGTACAGCAGCTGAGTCTCGTGGCAGGATGAATCGTCGCAGGAGGAGGAGGAGAGCAGCGGAGAGCAGCGGCAGGACGTCGCGTCGGCCAGGCCAACTAGACGCAGCACAGGCGGCCAGGGGGCCGCAGCCTCAGGGGAGGCCAGTGATGCCGATCACGTCGACGGACGCGAAGGGCGGCGCGCTGGGGCCAGACCGCCGCGCAGCGCCTTGCGGCGAGCCGCTGGGGCCAGAACGCCACGCAGCGGCTGCCCGTGCCAGGAGAGGCCGACCCTCAACCACTTCTCCGTCGCCTCCTGCGTCCCGCATTCCACGGCACCGAAGGCGCTCTGAGCGGGCCAATGGGCGATGGCTGCCCTTCCCGCCGCAGCTCGGCCAGCCACGTCCGCAGGCACACGTAGTCGTAGCGCCGCATGCAGTCCGACACGATCCTCTGCGACCGCGTCAGCGTGTGGCGCCACCTGTAGTAGGCCCGTCTCGCGGGCATGCCAGTCCCCCAGGCCCGCTCGCAGATCTCCTCGGCCATCTCCTCGGCCGTCCTCCCACGCGCCCGCAGCCTGGTGGCGAAGCGCGGCTGGGACAGGATCTGCGTGACGTAGCCGACGCAGTGGTCGAGCCACTCGCTGTGGCACTCCATCGTCCCGCCGACCTCGGGAGCCTGGGTCCAGTACCGCGCCCATCCAGCGACCTGCAGCTCAAGCCTGGGCGCGACGCTGCGCCTCGGCTGCGCTGGCTCAGGCCGAGCCACCGCAACCCTGCCAGCACTCAGGGCGGGGCCGCACACACGGTCGGCACTTGCAGGTCCCCTGCCACCCCTGGTGCTGGCCATGCACATGCCGTCGCGGTCCGCGTCGCTTCCTGGGCTCAGGGCGGGGCCGCACTCACGCACGCGCATTGCAGGTCCCCTGCCACCCCTGGCCCAGGCCGTAATCCGTCGCCGCTCGGGGTGGGTGCTGGTGCTCAGGGCGGGGCCGCACTCAGGACCGCAAACTGCAGGTCCCCTGCCACCCCTGGCACCAGCCGTAGCTGCACGTGGACACGCCTCCCCAGAAGCCAGCTGCGGCTGCCGCTGGTCCTCCTCAGTCGACGCCGCTTCCAGAGACCCGCTGCCAGTGCCCAGGGCGGGGCCGCACACAGGACTGCACTTTGCAGGTCCCCTGCCACCCCTGGCGCTGGCCATACCCTTGCCGTCGCGGTCCTCGTCGCATCCTGGGCTCAGGGCGGGGCCGCACTCACGCACGCACATTGCAGGTCCCCTGCCACCCCTGGCCCAGGCCGTAAAACGTCGCCGCACGCGGTGGGCCTGGCTGCCGTCGCCGCCAGTGCCCAAGGTGGGGCCGCACTCAGGGTCGCGGCTTGCAGGCCTCCTGCCACCCTTGTCACTGGCCATGCCTGGCAGCGCCCGCTGCGAGTCGTCAGACCTGCCAGCACTCAGGGCGGGGCCGCATTCGCGACCGCACTTTGCAGGTCCCCTGCCACCCCTGGTGCTGGCCATATCGGTAGTCGAGAACGGCTGCGGCGGGCTGCTCATGTCCTGAGGGCTGGTCACGGCGCCCTCCTGGTGGCCCGTGGACAGCGTCACCTCGTGTGCCAGGTCACACCTCAAGGGCGCAGGCAGCCGCGACGGCCCCGCCGCCAGACAGGCATCGACCACCCCCACGTCTGGGGCAGCTGGCGGCGGCTGGAGCGGCACCAGTCCAGTGGTGCCCCCGTCGGGGCATTGGTGCGCTCCATAGGCCGAGGGCAAGCTGCCGTCGGCCATGTCTCCCTCATCACGCTGCGCGCCGCTGGCGGCTGCTGGACCACGTTCGGCTAGCAGATGCTGCTGCCTTCGCTGCATCCGTTCCAGGGGCTCCTGCCGTCGCACCCGCCAAGCAGGCTTCTTGGTCTGGACTGCGTCGGAACCTCCAGCCCCTGCAGGCACCTCGCGCGTCTCGTGGTCCTGGCCAGGCCTGGTCGCCTCGCCCTGTTCCTTCTGCGCGTGCCTGCCGCTTGGCCGCTCTGCAGCGCCGTCGCCCCCAGAGGCCATGTCGCCCGCGGCCGCGCTGGCCGCCGCTGTGGCCCATGTTCTGGGGCCGTCTGGAGCCTCGCCTGCACCTCCCCAAGTGAGCACCTTTCCTGTCTGGGGGTGCAGC